AAAAAATAGACATTTCTTATCTCTGACCTACACACATACATAAATTTAACTCTCTTGAAGAGAAAAACTCTTGGACCTAGCCAAAATCCTTTATTTCCATTTCTACCCATTTATTGATGTTCCCTTAAAATCCATTCCTATTTATTCAACATTCTAAAAGTTTAATTCATAAAAGTATGAACTCCAATAGCAATGCTTGAACAAGGCTTAAGGAATAGCATTTGTCTGTACCATTCAGGTGGCACTTAACGTTTGTCTTATCATATTTACAAACTGTCTCCTCAACCAGATTGCAAACTACTTTAGAGTATGAGCCTTTTTCTATCCCCAAAACCTAACAGAGATTTACATATAGTAAAATGTAGGTAATATCTATGAAAGACACAGACTAGTGGACAAGTTTAAAAATTAAAGTCCTAAAGAATATTTGAAATATTTGACCTTTGCATCTACCTCAAATGATACTGAGTTCTGGACTGCAAGGGTTCAAGGCCTGGGTCCAGAAGCAATCAACAACAACAGCAAATAAAGTAAGCAATAATGCTAGTTTCCTGTGTCTAAGACCTTACCCAAGAAGAGACAATTGTGAACGTGAATGCATAATTTTTTAAAGCCATTTGAAAGAAGTAATAATGTTTAAGACTTTTAAAAGTTGGGGAGGCAAGGGAGTGTCTCACATGCTCACTAAGGATCTCCCTGCCAGATTTATACACACTTGCATGCACCAGAAGGGCTCTGTTGAGAGTGCTGCTTCTGCTCATTCTAGAGCCTATATTTCCTCAAGTTTTAGAACTCTTAGAAAAACTAAGATCTTATTATAAAAGGTATAAAACCACAACACTTACAACAAGATCCCTAAGTGTTACTGCCTTCTTAGAAATGCATTTACAGTCATTATATTAATACACGTATTTATAAGTGAGAGACAGGTTTTGGTATGTTCATCCTCAACCCTGTTCTTTCCTGACATTAAGTCAATTCATTCACCCACTCATTCAGCATTTATTGTACATCTACTACAGGAAAGCCCTGTGCTAGGCAGGCAGACAGAAATGATGACTAAGTGTGGTCCTGGCCCTGAAGCAATGTAGTCACATTCTACAATGCACAGTTGGATTAATGCTATTTACGTACTTAGATTTCACAAAAGGGAACATTAGAGAAATAATTTTTTCTCTGTGATCTTAGCAGTTTGTATCTGGTGGACACGTGGTTCTTTCTTCTATATTCAAACACCACCAATGCCTCTTTTACTTTGAACTTTATTTGGCAAAGCAGCACTGCATAAACTGTTCAGTAACTAGGACACAGCTTACACAGTATGTTAAATTCATATACATTACCAGCAGCAAATTACAAACAAACAAACAAACAAAAAAACCTACTAAGCTACAAGTCTCCTATAATTTTTTTTTTTTATCCTTCCAAAAGTATAGGTCAGTCCAAATAAGTCTCCTATAATTTTGAGAGAGAGGAAGAACTACTTCAGTTATGTCCAATCTGAACAGCTGAGTGTTTACAGGACATCACCTGCCATCTTAAGGTTTAATATTTATAAATGCCAAGTTTTAAGGTAACAAAGCAGCTGATTGTATCTACAACATGCTATTCTATGACACCACATCAAAAGCTTTAAAAAGAAAGCTCATCTCTATTTTCTTAGTAGCATTTAACAGACATCCAAATACCAAAACTCTTAACTTGTGAATGGTGGCGTTATCCAATGCACAAAAGCAATCTGATAAATTAATATCAGAACAGAATTAAGTGTCCAAGAAAAGAAAAACCACTCCTCAAAATCAATTCGCAAACTAAGTTTTCCATTTTGCAGAGCCCTTTCTTTAAATATTTCAAAGTAGAATGTGGGCATGTTAAAGTAATAATTCGCAACTTTATACTTTGCATCCTTCCTCTAGCAATTTGGCTCTGTGCCTCTTTGAAGAATTAGAAACCCTAAAAAACCACACATTTTCATGCTGAAAATAATAGCATAACAAAGTCCAAAACAAGCTGTGATGGTGTTGGTTTTCAAAAAGCTTTGAAGACTGAGATGAGCAATTCACTGTAATATTATAGACTGGTCAAGCCGATGTTGCTTTTAGAATTCATCGCTGGGGGAAGAAAAGAGGAAAAAAACGTAAGTAGGAGTTATATACTACACAATTTGGCTTTATAATAGTTTAGATACAACTATTAAATCAATCAAAATGCGCAGATTCCCCAATCAATATATTAAAAAAAGAAAAGAACAAACAATCCCAAGTCAAAGCAAAATAGGAAGTCAGCCATTCGAACATCTTTCATGCTACTACAAAATGAAGTATGAAACCTAGAAGCCTGAGTTATTTTTTAATTCTAAAAATAGAATTCTTCCTTCAAGAACAAAAATTCAGAAAAATTCTAACTTTTAGGTCTAGAATCATCTTAACACTATTATAAAATGACAACTTGAATATTCAGAGTTCAAATTTTTTTTTTTAAGTCACAGAATTGGACAAAAATTTAGTCTTTCGCTTAGAGTATCTGTTAGCAATTATGGAGTGGGTCAATCTCAACCCAAACTCTCTGAGAGAAAAGGCATCATCTGTAGGTATAATTTACCTGTCAGCTGATTTCATAAGGCAGCTTTATAAGCTCCAAAAGAAACCATTTGCTCAGCCAGGTACAGCACTGTACCAACAACTGCCACTGAGAGGAAGGAAGGAATAAAAATGCAGACTAAAATAAGCTGTATGGTATATAAAAATTATACCTCAATAAAGCCATTAAAAGTGAAAAGATAAATAAAACTACCAGAAAAGCCTAAAAGCCTCATGTATCAGGGTAATCGAGTGAAAAAAATATCATTAAACACTCGAGTACTTTGGGGTGGGTAAAGAAGCATGATGTTAGCAATTAAATCTCAAATGATTCAGAAAAAAGGAAAAAATATTACAGATATATGTCTATATAGAAAGAGGGAGTGATGAAGAAATGTAGAAAAATGCTAATAATTGGTGATTCTGAAAAGAGAGATTTAGGAGTTCTTTTACTATTCTAGCAACTTGTCTGTAATAAAAATTTAAAGTTTTGAAAAAGTTGTTAAATAGATTTGAAAGCTACGGTCCTCAACCCCCGGGGCTGTGGATCAGTACCAGTCCATGGCCTGTGAGGAACTGGGCCACACAGCAGGAGGTGAGCAGCAGGTGAGAGAAGCTTCATCTGTATTTACAGCCGCTCCCCATCACTCGCATCACCGCCTGAGCTCCGCCTCCTGTCAGATCAGCGGTGGCGTTAGTTGCAGGAAAACAAGCTCAGAGATCCCACAGATTCTGCATTATGGTGAGTTGTGTAACTATTTCACCATATATTACAATGTAATAATAACAGAAATAAAGTGCACAATAAATATAATGCACTTGAATCATCCCTAAATCATCCGCCTACCCCACCCGCGGTCTGTGGAAAAACTGTCTTCCATGAAACCAGTCCCTGGTGCCAAAAAGGTTGGGGACTGCTGTGAAGGGAAGGAGAAACAAAGAACTTGTATTTCACAGGTAAGTGGTAAGTTAAAGAATTACCAGATAATTTGGTTTTATTAAAACTGAATTTTTTAAATTGTGCAATATTTTAAAAATTACTTCTCTCATAAGGTGCTTTTATCACACAGTACTGGATTATCTATTAAATGATAAATTATAAGTTCTGATTGCTCTTAGTATATTTTTCTAAATAACAATACTATAATTCTCATAGAATTTTTCACTTAAATTCATGCAAGCATTAAAATATTCAGTCTACAAAGAGTACACTAGAAAAGTGCTCTATTTATAAACAAATTCACTTGTGCTTTTTAAAACATGAATTAAAGATACTGTTACTTTTATTAATTCATTACATTTTATTTACCTATTACAAGGCATTAAGGATATTGCAAATAAATTAATGCCTCAACATAGTACAATATTTCTAAATACACTCTCCATCTAAAAAATGTTTTAATAAAGATATTAAGTTTATACATCGGAATTTTAAAATTATGGTGCCAGGCAGAAACAAAATTTTGCTAGCAGTGCATGTATAATCTTGTCACCATTCTAATACTCAGAAATCTATGTAATTTGCAAGTTATTAAATTTTTCCTAATGTTCAAAATTCTACATAACCATATCTTTATCTGACTTACATGAATAGATTATTTACAATAAAAGGTAGTATGTCCTAAATTTTCAGAGAGGCTCTTTCAAATTGCCGTATTTTTTTAAAAAGGGGCTGGCACTTTATTCCCAGCACTTTGGGAGACTGAGGCTGGAGGATCACTAGAGGCCAGTAGTTCAAGATCAGCCTGGGCAACATAGTAAGACCCTGTCTCTACAAAAAATAAAAGTAAAAAATTAGCCAGGCATGGTGGCACATGCCTGTAG